ATATTCAAGTCTAGAAAATCAATATCTATGTAAGACAGTCATAAGGTATGTATGAAAGTGTCATTAATAAGCAAGAATAGTAAAAATAACTAATGTATTTCCAAAAAATTGACTTTCTTGACTTGAAGAGTCCTAGAAATTTACCTAATAATATTAAAATGGATATGGCCATAAGGAAACATTTTTAATTAGTGAAAACAGTTTTCCTTTTTGTTCATTTTCATTCTTTTCTTTCTTCTTTTTTTGGATAGAGAAAAGTTTACCTAATCTTAGGAAAGGTTGAGATATTTGCTCTACATTAGGGTAAATTTTAGGACTAAATGCAAGCTCTCTGGAGAAGGTATGAGAAGAAATTACTCAAGGATTCCTGTGAATTTTTGTTATGGTTTGATGATAAATACCATGCAAATATCCTTTGTCAGTGTATTTTGGCAGTTTTTCCAAAGAGACCAGTGAAGAGGATTATAGAAAGAACAAAAATGAGGTTGATTTTATACTAGAAAAATGCAATGGGGAATTCTATAACTTTCCAGCAAATTTTCTACCTCATTCCTGTATCCACTACACAATATTATAAAATCTTTGTAGAAACAAAAATACAAACTTCCAGATTCAATCAAAATTTTATCCTTCCCAGCAATTTTACATCAAAATTTAATTCCATCATTTGTTCTAATACTATACCTGGGTGATTTCAAAGACTAGCACAAGATGGCTTAATATAGAAAAGGATGTTTCTTGGCTCACAGAGTCTAAAGAAGGTGGACAACACAGCCACTGGAAGGGTACAGCTCAGCCTGGAGAAGAAACAGCTAGAAATGGACTATCAGGATGTTACATCTTGTCTTGCTTTTTTTCTTTTTTGCTGGCTTTATCCTTTTCTCTTCATAAATTTCCCTTTTCTACATGAAAAACATCATTTCTTTCATTCTGCATCTTATAGCTACAGTCAGTTGAAGGGGGAAATGCCTTGATACCCATTTTAAAATAAAGTCCTAAAATCACAGGGAAGGGATCTGTTAAATTTATTTGGCTTTATTAGCCACCTCTGGACTAATCAGTGGTTTGGCTTACAGAATAGAAGACTAAGATTGGCTCACTTCAGGAGATAGTCAACTGTGGCTAGAAGGGCAGGACCATCTGAGAGCATAGCAGCTTCCTTGGGTGCCATAAGGCTTGACAGTAGGGAAGTGTAGAGCTGTTCCTAGGCAAAAAGAAAATGTTGTTGTGCCAGACAGAAAATGGTTACTAGTACCCATAGTAAAAAAAGGGACCCAGGAAAAACTTCATTATATTCATAGTGAGTCATGGTCTTTCCATGACCTTGTTCATGGAAAGGTGAAGTACATCTCACTTTAAATGACTCTAGATACATGAGATACATAACCAATAGTGTATTTATGCCTCCTGATGGAATAAGTACTTACATGATTGAGTGGCATCTTCTTCATGAACCCCTTTTTGGATATTCATCTCATCCCTAACACCTGCAAAAATTTATGATCATCACTCTAGTTTATCATAATTTTCTATAATTGAGTGAACTGACAATTGAATAAAGGCCCAGGTTCCTAGCTCAACTATAGTTACCTTATTTTATGCTTTCTTTACTAGAAGACCTCTACACCATGATTAGCATCAATGACACTATTTATTCTGCATTCTTGAGAGACTACTAATTTCTAGGCAATATACTCAATGCTTGGGATACATAGATGATCAAAGATGATCCTTAAACAGAACATATGACTTGATGCCTTTTGTTCCCATCTCACTTGACATGGAAATCTAGCATGGTGAAATTTGATCTAGCAATTGAATGGCCTCTCCAAACACCAGAAGTGTATCTAGATGTAGTTTAGTTTGCCTATCCAGAAAAATCAGAATTTTTCCTTCCTTTTAAGCCCAAAGGCTATTAATGCAAATCAAATTGAATTTGCATTTGATTACATTTCTGATGGAAACATTCATATGCAAATGAAAATTCATGCAAAGATAGCCAGATAATTCAAATAATTGCTGAAATATCAAGATAAAATTAGGATATTAAATATACATCTATCCATGCTTACTGGGTTACACTAAGGTCATCAAGTGGGACAATGTTCTCCAAAAGCTTAAATAAATTGTGTCTTAAACATTTGATGACATTCTAGTAGGTATGAGTTTAGAAAGGAGCTGTTGCATTACTTTCTATTGTCATAGAGCTGAAAAAGATGTCAGTCACTAGTAAAATCAGTCAAATTGTTTGAAAACATTTATCTTAGATCCACCATTTTGTCCCATTTCCTTTTCTTGTCATTCAAAGCAAAAGGTGATTTTTGGTAGATCTGAAGTTATTTTGATGACCTAAAACAATGCACAAATAGTTTCTGTAAGTTGGCAGTTCCTGCATGCTCTCTAGGGACTCGGTGATGCAAGTTAAATGACATCATCACAATCACCACCAATCAGTACCTTTTGGAAAGCATCCATGGCATTGTTGAATATAACAGCAGAAAAATGATTATAACTAATGCCCCTATTCTTCTATTAAATCCAGCTAAGAAAAGATTTAAGCAAAATTTCAACCTCTTAGTCCATTATGCCCATCCAAACCTGTTTTCAAGGGAAACACAGATCTTGGATTCAGACTGCTATTCTTGTTAAATTTAACAGATGTTGGAGTGAAAAAAGGAAAAGGTTTGAGATCACAGCATTCAGGATTGTTAGCACTTAGTTTAATAGTCCATGAAGTGTCATTCTCCCCATTTTTCTTTTGTTTGATCTCATGTGTTTGTCTATAACTGTGAGGCTTTTTAGAATTCTAGTGTTCCCTGCTTTGGTGAATGTCACCAACCATCCATCAACTTTGAAAGTCCTAAACCTGAAGAAGGCACATTAGCATCTCTCACCTTGACAAGCCTAATCCTTCCCCAATAACTAAGAATTTCACTTCTTAAGTATCTCTCAAATCCAGCTACTTCTCTTCATCTTTATCACTAATTGCTTTACCATTAAACTGGCCTAGGGCAGGAGCCTCCTAACCTACAGATCAGAATCTACTTTTCTCTTTCTTCAGTCTCTATCATAGTATAACCAGGTTGTCATTGCAAATAGTCATAACCAGATTGTCTTTACAAATAATCATCATTTCATCCAACCTCCTTCCTTGCTTACTATCCCTCTATGGCTTCCTATTTATTTTAGAATTAAAAACCCAAATCTGTAACAACCAGGTGATTGCCCTCTGCCTGGTGCAGTTCCTGCTGCCTCTGCACCATGACACCCTGAGGCTCTCCTTTCACTCTGGGCTAGAGTCCATTCTTCTTCTAGTCACCACAACCTTGCACATGCTGCCTTCCTCAGCTTCTAGAGTGAGTTAACTTCACACTTCTTCCACAAAAGCTTTCCTGATCTTCTAGACCCATCAGGTCTCTCCCCTAAGTCTTTTCATACCACCATGCAACTTTCTTTCATAATACCTATTCAAATTTTGAATAACATTTATTTTTGAAATGATATCAGTCAAAATGATCTTTCTTAAGACTTTCTGAAGAATGAGACTAGATCTGTTCTTTGCTTAGCACAGTAAGACATGACACCCATCACATCCCAGACATTTAATAAGTACATGTTGAATTAATGGGAGGTTCCATTTTCTATTCTCATCAAAAGTCCAGAAGTTTACAATAATGTAAGTTAAAAAAAAAAAAAGCGCAAAAGAAAGAAAATTGACTCACTTGCTCAAACATCACCCTGCTACAACTTACCAAGGAGAATTAGCATGGCAAATACTGTAACACTATGGCAGAGAAAGTGAAGTAAAGAATCTGGTGGAACTGAAGGTAACTGCTTTCAAAAACTATGATAAAGGGATTCTACCACTAACCGTACTAGCAAAGCAGTTTTTTCACTCAGCTATAATAGAGAATAATATGAACAGCTACTCTCCCAGCTCTGTCTTAGGCATGAAAGTTTTTATTCAGAATATTTCGCCACAACTAACTTCAGGAACACATGTAGAGCTTTCAGTATATGATCTGTTTGTGACACAAGTTGCTAAAACTGATTTACAACTATTGTTCACTCCGTGGGAATAAAGCCATAATTTGAGAAGTTAAAATTATGCAGCAACATTGTCAGTTTGTATTGCAGGAATGGAGGTAAGGGAGAGAAAGGAGAATAGTGGAGGGAGTGAATTCAAGTATGATATATTTGATATATTGTAAGAACGGTTGTAAATGCCACAATGTACCCCCACCCAGCACAACAATAAAAATTTTTTTAAATCGTCAGTTTCTCAATACCTTCTGTTATTTTTTATTTTATTTCTATCAGCTGTGAGCTTCATTTTATTTTCAGCAATTTTAAAATGCTGAGCTAAAGTTTGAAATTATAGGGAAAGATAAACTGTCATATTCTGTTTGTGTGTATGTGTGTGGTATAGTATGGTTTGTTTTGGTTTTTTTAACAAAGTTGCATTATCTCTAGAGTATCTGTCCTTTCACCCTTTCACATCTGTCTCGGAGGATATACCTGGCTGTCTATGATAGTCAGAGAGTAAAGAGTTAAAAATTTATATTTAGCAACTGTATGGATCTGTGGTTAGGGACCTTAAGTTTAGTGGATAATAAAAAATTAAATACACTTTTTCTTAAAAGGAAGTTTTATATAGACCATTAAAGTAGCTTTGAGTTTGTATTATCTTTCATGTTTATAGATTTTAGGATATAGCTCTGCTTTTTAAAAAAAAATTACTAAAACATTTTAAATTTTCTTTCATTTATGAATTACACAGACTAATATTTTAAGCAAAAACTCAATGTGCCTATTTAACTTATAGCAGTGTCCTCTTTTGTGCACTATATTATAAAAATGAGCATTTAACCAATAGTTGGTCATCTTTTACACTTCTTACAAACTCATCAGGTATTTGTAGTTGGTATCATTGTTACCAACAATGATATAGATGAAACTGGGCTCTGAGGAAGATGTTTGTTTTCCTTTTATGATTTCAGTTAAGAATGCAAACTGCACATCAGACTTTGAGGAATACTTTGCCAAAAGAAAACTGGAGGAACGCGATGGCCATGCAGTCAGCATCGAGGAGTACCTTCAGCGCAGTGACACAGCCATCATCTACCCAGAAGCCCCTGAGGAGCTGTCTCGCCTTGGCACACCAGAGGCCAATGGGCAAGAAGAAAATGGTGAGGCTGTAATTCATTTTTAGCCACTACACTGACCTCTGCAGCTGTTACAATTACAAATGCACTACATGCCTGGGTGTTTACCTTAAAATTTGAAGAACAGCTGCAGAGGCATGGAATTTCACGAGCAAAGATTAGAACTGTAATTTTAGGGTATTGTGAAATTTTTTTGTCAGCAAATTTGTGTCATTTGTACATCCAATAAAGAACAAGAACAATTAGAGCCCATTTCTAAGAGATAAAAATATCTAAATGTATTCCTATCTTTCTGAAATATTTCACTTTTGAGGGGAAAAAAAAGTTTAGGGACACTGACCCTCACCTTTTGTTCTTCTCTGCTGACACCTGAAAAGCTCCTTCCCTCTGTGAATTCCTTAGTCATATGTGACTCCTGGGTTCAGAGGAACTGTCAGTCACTTAAAGAGAATTTTCTCATTTATCAGCTGTTTAAATTCCCCCCCCCAAAAAGCTCAAGTAATTAATTAATTTCCCAGCACAGTGTGAGCTGATTCCGACAAGTCTGTCTTGGGTGTGCAAGGGGACTGGTGTGTGAGGAGGCTGGGTGCAATGATGGCACTCTGGTGGAGCAGATTGCAGTGATTCCTGTCATACCATCCCGGGCAGTCAGCCCATTAGCTGCCATTGATTTACTGACCTTTTGGCCCGCTTCTCTCTCTCTTGTCTCTCTGCTACAGACCTGCCACCTGGAACTCCAGATGCTTTTGCCCAACTGCTGACCTGCCCCTACTGCGACCGGGGCTACAAGCGCCTGACATCACTGAAGGAGCACATCAAGTACCGCCACGAGAAGAATGAGGAGAACTTTTCCTGCCCTCTTTGTAGCTACACGTTTGCCTATCGCACCCAGCTCGAGCGGCATATGGTGACACACAAGCCGGGGACAGATCAGGTGGGGGGTTGGTTTTAAGTGATTTCTTTCTATAATAACCCCTTAGAGAAACGATATTGCTTTGATTGGCAATCATTATTAATTTTTCATGGCATTTTGAAGATGCAGATCTTTTAATGGTAATAGCTTTAATTGAGGTCTAAATGATTTTTTGATGGTCTCTTCTAATATGATTTAATAGTCTTATGTTCACGATCGAATGAGTGTGTTAATTTCTAATTTAGAAATTTTATTTGCACTTTAACTTGACTTTAGTTTCATTTTTATGTTCCACAAAAAGTGAATGAAATTGTAGCATTTTAATTATACATTATTAAACATCTCAGCAATTTTAATTCCATTTTTCACCTAGTTTTGCTTAGAATTTTTTTTTCACATAGAATCTAAGCCACAGTAAAAGAAGCAGGTATTTCTTGTTTTTTTTTTTTTTTTTTTTGTCTTTTTCTTTTTTGTTTATTTTTTTTTTTTCGTGTTTTTTAGAAGCAGGTATTTCTTTCATTTGTCATGTAACACTTTCAGTTACTCACAGTATTTTTACAAGCTGCAACTAGTTTATGAAATCTAATTATTTGAAGGAAAATAAGAAGTCATATAGGGTATATGTTGTATAGGGTATATGTGTACACAATGAAGTGAATGACTACAAAAACATTAGATGTACTTTTAAAATAATCCCTTCTTGATGTGAGTATTTGTAGCTAAGTGTTAAAATTCCTCTACTTTTTCTGATTTACTTTTCTTAAAAAAAAAAAAAAAAGGAACTCTTTTGAGCAGGTAAGCCTGGTTACTTAAATCCTTAAAATAATTGAACAAGATTGATTTGCAGCATCCCTTAAATGTTTCAGCAAAACTGCTCTTTCCATCCTCCTGGGAGAATTGACTCTGCAAATTGGTATTATGATGTGTTCGAATGGTAACAGAAATGGTATGTCGTAAGTCACAATAACTGGCCCTATAGATCTGGAATTGCCCCATATATTCCTTGATACTGTATCTGTCTTAAAAATGATTACATGATATTCTATATAAAGCTCTTATTTTTCTCCTTATAGCCTTTATTTTCTTTGAATAAGGACAAAAATAAGCAAACAATTAAACAATAGTAATAATATCATTTTATGGAATTTTACTTATCTTTCTATCTCCCCATGCTTCTATGCAGAAAACTCTAGGAAAAACAAGGGCCTAGATATTTATCTAGCATAACTGCTTTAAATTTCACATGCAGAAGTGTGACTGTTGGCGCGTTATGAATGGTAGCTTTGGTGTTGAAAAGTCCCCTCATTTGCTCATGGCATTTACAATTAGTAAATTAAAATGATTGTATCATATTAACAGTGGCACAACTAAAGTTTATAGTAGTCCTCTGAGGGCTGTGGGGGGAGACAAAGCAGCTGTTGCTGTTTGTTTATGCAACTCAGCAACATATGAGCGCTGGTCCCTCAATGGCGCTCGGCGGGCTGGGCTCCGCTTGATCTTTGAAGGTTGCTGCTGTTTGAACAAACCTCCCTGTGTCCCATGTAACACCATCTGTCTCACTAGGAATGTGGGAAGATTCAGCACACCCTAGCAGTTGTCATACCGTTTCTGTGCTGTCTTTTTGCAAAAGGCTTTTGTGTCAGTACTGCTTGAAAAAGGCTGACCTCCTACCTTGAGCATCCAGAGTGGGTGACTGAATTTTTTTTTTTCAGAATTCTAAGTCACACTGCTTTTTTTCCCCTTGTTCAAAAAGGTCAGCTGTGTTTGATTGTATCTTTGCTGCTTTTAACTTATCTTTTCAGTCAACTTTTTTTCTTTTGGTCCCTACTCCCTTCCACTCTACTAAAAGGAAAATGAAAAGCAGTTGAAGTCTCCCCTACTGGCCTGTGATAAAGCTACTCAGGCAGCTATAACCCAAGACGTTGTCTCTTACACTTGATAATGAATCAAATCTGATAGGCAGCACCTCAGGAAAACGGTTAACACGTGCCACTAGCATAATGAATAAAATATTTAAACATGAGTACCTTGTAAAGACATATTTACAGTCAAGGGTTATTATTTATATGTTTTTTGATTTGGGAGGTTTTGGGGTTTTTTTGTATTTCTTTACAGGTCAGTTTGCCTTAAGATAAGGTATACTTTTATCCTAATACAGAAAATTTTTTTAAAGTGTGAGGTTTTTTTTTTTAGACTATTCAGAATTTTCAGGAAACTGTTTTTTCCTTAATAAAATGGTTGCATTCTAGCAAGCAATCTTTAGATTTTAGATCTTGCAGTAAACACAAAGAACCACAAACCTCTTTACAATTATACTTTCTCCTCTCAAAGGTCACAGAAACATTTTGGAAAAGAGACAACAGGAATAATTGTAAAGCAAGTGTTGGATGCACATGTGAAAGCACTTTTTTTTATTTGTTCCAATTTTATTACTAACATTATCACTTTTATTGCCACTCTGAAAGACTGGACAGATAAATAAGCATGCAATCAAACCTTTTGGCCTGTCTGAAAAATAGAGGTCTCTAAAAAATATTCGTAACAAATTTTCTTTGTTCCTCCTGCACAAAACTGATGTCAGTCTTTCTCCTTTCACAGCACCAAATGCTAACCCAAGGAGCAGGTAATCGCAAGTTCAAATGCACAGAATGTGGCAAAGCCTTCAAGTACAAACACCATCTGAAAGAGCACCTGCGAATTCACAGTGGTGAGTAGCAGAGGTGCTGGGTGCTCATGTTTGTACTTTGTTTAGTTAACAGAAGTTTTTAAAGATTGTTTGAAATCCACATAGTCCTTTTTGGAATGGCCCATCCATTTCATAAACTGTGCCTTCGTGAGAGTTACAGGGCTTCCTTTAGCACTGTAATTAAAAGAAGAGGCATGCTTATCCTTCTAAAAATTACAAAGACTTTGATTTATTACCATATCTAGAGACTCGTTTTTGTCCTTTCAAAACCCCTTCTCCAGATTAAATAATTTTGATGTGAAGAAACTTGTATGGCAATTTCTGAAGGATAATAATTTTTGACACGTAACCATGATAGTAAAAGTAGAATTTAGGAAAAGAACTTGTGTATGATAAATGTTCCTTGAATCCTGAGAGCTGTGGATCACAGAACAGTATCCTAACACTGAGATTTCTTCTTTCTAACTAAGTTGATAGCCCTGCCAAGCATTTTATTACCAAATTGGATGCTATTCAAAGAACTAGTTGGGTTGGTAGAATCAATGGAATCTCCCCAGAGTTGATTAAAGCCATGGCTACACTTCCCTTTAAATACTGTGACATCTTTATTGTGCTATTGACCACACATTAATCTGATACTCTGTTTAAATAGGAAGCTGCCAATGGCATGACAAGATTTGGGATCTTAGCTGAAAAAGGCATAGATAGGCTTCACCTTCCACAGCTAACATCTTGAATTATATCCTCCCAGGATAGATAAAGCCCAGAAACAGTTATGGTCACATAATTCTCATTTAAGCACCTAGAATGTAGAGGTACCACCTTTGGGTTCCTTTCATTTGGTTTCACAGATTCCTGTCTTGGCAGACAACTGCAGTTGTTATCTGATCAAAACAAACAAACAAAAGTAACATTAATTTAAATTATCATTTCAGGTGAAAAACCTTACGAATGCCCAAACTGCAAGAAGCGCTTCTCCCATTCTGGTTCCTACAGTTCACACATCAGCAGCAAGAAATGTATTGGTTTAATCTCAGTAAATGGCCGAATGAGAAACAATATCAAGACGGGTTCTTCCCCTAATTCTGTTTCTTCTTCTCCTACGAATTCAGCCATTACTCAGTTGAGAAACAAGTTGGAGAATGGAAAACCACTTAGTATGTCTGAACAAACAGGCTTACTTAAAATTAAAACAGAACCACTAGACTTCAATGACTACAAAGTTCTTATGGCCACCCACGGGTTTAGTGGCACTAGTCCCTTTATGAATGGTGGCCTTGGAGCCACCAGCCCTTTAGGAGTTCATCCGTCTGCCCAGAGTCCAATGCAGCACTTAGGTGTAGGGATGGAAGCCCCTTTACTTGGATTTCCCACAATGAATAGTAATTTAAGCGAGGTACAAAAGGTTCTACAGATTGTGGACAATACGGTTTCCAGGCAAAAGATGGACTGCAAGGCTGAAGAAATTTCGAAGTTGAAAGGTTATCACATGAAGGATCCATGTTCTCAACCTGAGGAACAAGGAGTTACTTCTCCTAATATTCCACCTGTCGGTCTTCCAGTAGTAAGTCATAATGGTGCCACTAAAAGTATTATTGACTATACATTAGAAAAAGTCAATGAAGCCAAAGCTTGCCTCCAGAGCTTAACTACTGACTCAAGGAGACAGATCAGTAATATAAAGAAAGAGAAGCTACGTACTTTGATAGATTTGGTCACCGATGATAAAATGATGGAAAACCACAACATATCCACTCCATTTTCATGCCAATTTTGTAAAGAAAGTTTTCCTGGCCCCATTCCCTTGCATCAGCATGAACGATACCTTTGTAAGATGAATGAAGAGATCAAGGCAGTCCTGCAACCTCATGAAAACATAGTCCCTAACAAAGCTGGAGTTTTTGTTGATAATAAAGCCCTCCTCTTGTCATCTGTACTTTCTGAGAAAGGACTGACAAGCCCCATCAACCCATACAAGGACCACATGTCTGTACTCAAAGCATACTATGCTATGAACATGGAACCCAACTCTGATGAACTGCTGAAAATTTCCATTGCTGTGGGCCTTCCTCAGGAATTTGTGAAGGAATGGTTTGAACAACGAAAAGTCTACCAGTATTCTAATTCCAGGTCACCATCACTGGAAAGGAACTCCAAGCCGTTAGCTCCCAACAGTAACCCTCCCACAAAAGACTCTTTATTACCCAGGTCTCCTCTAAAACCTATGGACTCCATAACATCACCATCTATAGCAGAACTCCACAACAGTGTTACGAATTGTGATCCTCCTCTCAGGCTAACAAAACCTTCCCATTTTACCAATATTAAACCAGTTGAAAAATTGGACCACTCAAGGAGTAATACTCCTTCTCCTTTAAATCTTTCCTCCACATCTTCTAAAAACTCCCACAGTAGTTCATACACTCCAAACAGCTTCTCTTCTGAGGAGCTCCAGGCTGAGCCTTTGGACTTGTCATTACCAAAACAAATGAAAGAACCCAAAAGTATCATAGCCACAAAGAACAAAACAAAAGCTAGTAGCATAAATTTAGACCATAACAGTGTTTCTTCATCATCTGAAAACTCAGATGAGCCTCTGAACTTGACTTTTATCAAGAAGGAGTTTTCAAATTCAAATAATCTGGACAACAAAAGCACTAACCCAGTGTTCGGCATGAACCCATTTAGTGCCAAACCTTTATACACAGCTCTTCCACCACAAAGCGCATTTCCCCCTGCCACCTTCATGCCACCAGTCCAGACCAGTATCCCTGGGCTACGACCATATCCGGGACTGGATCAGATGAGCTTCCTTCCACATATGGCCTATACCTATCCAACTGGAGCAGCTACCTTTGCTGACATGCAGCAAAGGAGAAAGTACCAGCGGAAACAAGGATTTCAGGTAATGAGACACAACTTTTTGCTCTGAAGAAAAGGGAGAAAATTATACAGTTAGGTGGGAGTACAGCTCCGTGGTATACCACTATTGCTTAGCAATGTATGAAGCCCTGGATTTGATTTCAAGCATCGTACACACAAAATTATACAGATGATGCGCAGGAAGGAAAAAAAATCTTAGAACAATCAGCAGAGATATAAGAATTTATTTTGTTTTTAACATGAGTCTGAAAGTGTGAGTAAGCTGAAAAAGTGAATGGATGAAACAGTAGAAGATTGTTCTCTTTAGGCATTTGAGAGGAAAGAAGGGAGGAAGGAAGGAAGGAAGGAATTGGAAGAGTGAGGCAGGAGGATTGCTAGTTCAAGACCAGTCTGGGCAATATAGAAAGACCATCTCAAAAAAATAAAGATAAAGAAGAAATTGGTATTTGTTTTTGAGATTCATGAGCTTTTAGGATTATACATTAACGCCAATAGTTGGTAGGACTTACATAGGGGCTAAAAGTTAAAATGTGTAACAGTCACATAATTCAAAGATGTAACTTTACAAGTAATTACATGTATAAATTACAATTACCTATGTAACTTGCAAATCATTACATGTATGTTTGATATGAGTTTGTTTTACAAAGAATAGTATATTTTGAAAAGTAGTTTAAAACTATTTTGTGTGTGTCATATGATTTCTTACCTAATCTTCAAACTAGTAAATAATTTATGGTTTTTTGAATACGAAAGCAGGTATTTTTTAGCATTTGCAGTAAATCCCTGTTTGCAAAATAGGAGCATAAGTGATAATGCACCTCTGTAACAGCTGTTCCAGTATTCCAATTTATAGTACATCTGCCCTCTTTGTAAATGTATTTAAGCCCATTTAATCTTCTCTAATATTAATTAGTGCAAACGTAGTTTAAGAAAACTGAACTGTGGGCTAGCAAGTGGAAATGTATGTTATCATGCAAGTTTGCACTCCTTTGGATCAAGACAAAACAAATATCAAGAAATTTAATAATTTACTGATCCACATTCATTATTGCTCAATGCTGAAGGCTGTTTTAACATAGATAGAGCATTGATAAAAAGTGTTATTAATATTCCCTATTTCAAATTAGAAAATTAAATATAAAAATATAGCTAGAGGCTTTTAGTTGGTAGACATACATTTAAATAGATTGCATAATAATAACATTTTGTACCTAAATATAAAATTCAATTAAAATGGGGTTTCTGCAGCTACAGATCATTTCTAAAGTAAAGCACACTGGAAAACACGCAAATTCTGATGTTTAATCTTCACTCGTGGATATTTCTTGGTATTAAAAAAATGAAAGATTTTAGAAAAATTTATGCTTTCCCACCCTCAGAGTTGACCATTTTATGTCCCCCCCAAAACAGCAAGCTCAACCACCTAGGGCAGGGAAGGTTTATATTTTTATTGAAATGCAAGATGTCATATTATAGTTCGGGGAAGATTAAAAAAAAATTTAAACTAGATCAATTAATGGTAAACACTTTTGAGGTTCTCCAAATGTCAGCCTATGCTAACTTGTCTGTTGTAAACACAAAGAGAAGAGACTGTTGAACTATGTGATTATATCACAGGGAGAATTGCTTGATGGAGCACAAGACTACATGTCAGGCCTAGATGACATGACAGACTCCGATTCCTGTCTGTCTCGAAAGAAGATCAAGAAGACAGAGAGTGGCATGTATGCATGTGACTTATGTGACAAGACATTCCAGAAAAGCAGTTCCCTTCTGCGACATAAATACGAACACACAGGTATGAGTGACTTTGACTAGCTAGTTAGAGCTTCCCGGCCTGCTGTACATTTCATAATAGTTAATGAGTACACTTGTGCAAGATAAGATGCAGCATATGCTGATACCTTCAACAAGGAAGAAATAATGCTTTTGCCTAGCTCGGTAGGACTTTTTGTTGCCTGTTTATTGGGTCATCATGTGTTTATGAGTGTGCTTGTCTTCATATCTTCTGAAGTAATCTGTAAAATAAATTCACAATTCATGTCAAAGTAATATTTCAATGACCAGGCCAATGAAATAGCATGACCCAAACTAGTTATCAAAGAACCTAAATATGTAAAAATCTAATCAATGTGGACAATGATACATTAGCTTCAACATCCAAACATCAAGTAAACCATGGTTTGAAGATGATTTTATTTGGTTTTATAAATTGGCCACATTTTGATTATTTTTCTATAGAAGAAAAGTAATTGCTGAAATTAGCTACTCAATCTATCTGTATTTGGAAGACTGAAGTAAAACTTTCTAAAATTTAATTTTTTAAGTTTTCAATTCATGTATCACTAATCAGCAACAATTACAAAGAGCTGACAAGACAGCAGCCTCATTCGTCCCTATGAGTAAAGAGACGGTGGGTTAATTTTCAAAAAGAAAAGTGAAGTTCCATAACGTAAAGCAGTATTATTTCCCACAATCCAAGATCTGCTTTACAATTCTGTGGTTGAACTCCACTTGTGTTCCCTCCCTCCCTCCTCCTCTTCCTGCCCTGAGCAATAAGCTAACTCAGCCTCATCCTGTTCCTAACTCCTCTCCAGCTCTTCTCCATTAGAAATTTGGCATACTGAACTGGCCCTGAGTGGGATAAGAAAAAGTGTAGGCTCTGAATCAAAATATTGAAAGGGGCAAACAAAGGAGAGAAATGTAGGAAGGCATCTCACTTTAAACCAAGTGTAGCATCGAATATTTAAATATGTACCATTAATGCTTTTCGGGAGAAAGTGATGATGGAGCAAAAAAGGAAAAGGGAATGGGATAGTTCTGTTATATTTTGATTGTCTATAGACATGATGTCCTTTCTAGTGACTGAAAACTATCTCTGGGAAGTATGTGTATTCATCATCTTCCCATTATTCCTCACTGGGCATGTACTGGAGACAGCACAAGTGACCAGAATCAGGCTCCGAGTTGAGAGAAAGGTGGGTGAGTTCTGAACCACCAGATTTTGAAGATATCTGTGAAGAGCACAAAACTCATTCTGACTCCAACCAATTCAGTTTTCTTTTTTCTCCAGCCATCTGATATTTGTTGTTACTATTTTAAAAGTTCAACTAATGATACTTTAGAAGCAATCCACATTGAATAGTAAATCCAAATCTTAAAATTTGTGATATATTTGAAACGTTAAAATTTGTCTACCTTTGTCTCTTCTTATAGCTATTTTCTTTACTACCTAGTCTTATTTAAATATTTACATAGTAAATATATTTTCATAACTAAATTTACTTTAATTTTAATCAACCTCAAATATATTTTGTATTTCATTATTCAGCTACAATAGGCACATCACTGAAGGCATCTTTCCCTCTGATTGGTCTTATTATATGACCATATGCAAACTCTATCATTTACTACATGGTGAGTGTAAAACTTTTATTTTAGTGAGGGCTATCACACATATTGACATCCAGTCAATATATTTATTTCCTATAAATTAGACAGTCCATAAGATACATAGGTATATAGATAGTTGAGAGAGACCCAAAAGTTGACAAACACAAGTATACATAATTAATTTGAGAAAAAAAAACTATTTTAATAAGTAAAATGTTCTGGTCCTTTAAGTTGTAAGCTCCACTGCCTAGAAACATTCCCTAGTAAAAGGATGCTAACCATCCAATGGTTTCTCTAAACTTGTGATTAATTATCCTCCTGTTGGCATCCCAGCTTGTCAAGTTTCCAGTGTGTTAACTTTTTGGTCTCTTGACCAAACATATCGTGACATTACTACTGTCAGTGTATTAGGTTCCATCTAAGTGAAGTTCTTCATGAATTTCCTATCACCATGATATATATAAAAAATGTAGTCCATTTTCCTACATTAAATTAGGCCCATTAGCCTTTTATTTGTTTCTATTAATCACCAGTAATATTCTGAGAATTGATTAATGTGAATATTATAAGGGAGAAGTACCATGGGTTGATTGATTTTTAGGCTGGAAAATGAAGTTGAATTGTCATTTGATTATTATGTGTTGATTAGTGTGTCATTGATAAAGTGTGTTTGTTCTCTGTCTACCATTTGACATATAAGATTGTTTAAATTAAGAAGGATATTGTGAGCTACTTGTTCTTGGGATACTATGCTCTTTTGCTTCAACCCATTTTAATTTCCTATACAGATACCAAAGTCATGATGCTTAACTTTTCTTACCAATGGCTTATTGCTTGCTTTCTTTTCTTGGGACCCTCGTCTGGGACAGAGGAAGGAAACGCTCTGTAAATGTTAACTTCAGTTGAGCTAATTGTCACAAACAAGAACTGTGAAATAAAAAATCTGAAACTCCTGTTAGGCACTGTCAAGAACTCATTTGTATTCCACTAAAATCTAAACCTGACATTTATTGAGTACATTCTCTGATGAGGCATCGTGTTAGGTGCTTTTAAACCACCTTATTCAGAAAAGTAATAAAATGTTTCTACTTTTGAGTAGATAAAGTCTAAGTTTTAAATAAATTACAGGTCAATTTTTTCTCTGTTATATGATAATTTTCTCAAACCACAAACCTTCCATTTATTATTATCTTCAGTAGTAATTCTAGCTGTCAGATGAATCATAAACCTAGATATTAAAGAAAAATTTACCCCAAAAGAGTTTTGATTCACTTAATATCAATTTGGATGTTTTTCTGAATCTTGCTCATGTGGAAATTTAACTCTAGGACTTCTTGATTTGAATCAGGTAAACCAATCAAGTTAAAAAGAGATAAATGTCCAACTCAGATCTTATTTAAATGAATATATTAAGTATTGGTGAAACCTCCAGAGATTAGCAGAATATTTGGTTTAAGGTATATGTCAAAACTCTCACTCACTTCCAAATTCTGTCCTTTGGATGGCATCATAGCTGAATATTTGATTCTTTCAGGTTGTCAGTTGATAATGCAGAATTAATAAAATTCTAATATAAGCATATTTTTTATTATAGAATGAATTCTCTGAAAATTGATAGCCTGTAACTATGATAGACTGCAGGGTTAGGGGGCTTTTCACAAGCATTTCTAACAGATCTTGAAACTTGTGTTGGCAAATGCTTGCTCTCTGTCATAACACCCTGTGTTTTGTTGCTTTGAAAAAGACAAAGCCAGGTCACCTATAATGTTCATTCAAAATCATTCATATATTCCCTCTGTGAAGGGGGCTAACTTATTGACCTTTTCGTACTCCTGAGCTGATACAAATTAATACCCCAGATAGGCTGCTGGACAGTTTCACTGTACTAGCTAAAGCACCAAGAAAAACTTCATATAAAATTTCTCTTCTGTCCATTCAGATTTATTTCTTACATGTACTCTACTCCTCATGCATGTATCTCTCTTAGAATGTGGGACTCGATTGAACATGTATTAATGAATAAGAATAAAATGCTCTAATATTAATTGAAGGCTTACTATGAGACCCTTGTTCTACACGCTTTACCTAGACTGTCTCCTTTACTCCTTATATCCAGTCCACAATTAGATCCCCAAACAAACTTCCTTTACTTCAAGGACCCTGATCCTCAGAGTAGTAACATGCCAGAGATTGTACCACAACAGTTTCTAAAAGATGGATCTGAACCCAGGCAATCAGACCCCAGACTCAATCTCCCCTATGCAACACTGTACCATCCTGTCCTGATGGATGAACTGCTACTGCTACAAAGGTCTTTTTTATTTTTTGGTGGAACTGGGATTGAACTCAGGACTTTGCACTTGCAAAGCTCTTGAGTCACACCTCCAGTCCATTTTGCTGTAGTTATTTTGGAGATGGGATCTTGTGAAGTATTTGCCCATGCTGGCCTCCAACTGTGATCCTCCCAGTCTCAGCCTCCTCAAAAAGCTAGGATTACAGGGATGAACCACTGACACCCAGCTGCTACAAACGTCTTATTCTTTCTCCCAGTAGTATCATTTCTATAAAAGTAACATAAGACAAACCAATTCATAACCTAGTGACTTGAAGTTTCCTGGAAGGCAGAGAAAAAGAGAAAGAGAGAGAGAGAGAGAGAACATCTCTTATTTTCCCCAAAAACAATTCTGCTTCCTGTTAAATTACCTTCTCACCATGGTGGTCTTGTCAATTGGAAAAGTACATTATCTCTCCAGACTC